TGAGCATTATAAAAGTCTTTAAAAATGCAACTGAATTTAGGAATTTCCTGACTAATCTTCAAATTTTCAAAGCTTTTCAAAGCTGTAGCAAAAGACAGTGTCTATGGCAGAGCAAGGGAGCTTTGATTCCAGAAGCTACACTAATAAATATACACAGATACACATACCATCCACTAGAAGAGACATGGAGACAAGTGATGAAACCAGGTCATAAATGCTGGAGCAGATGTGGCTACAAGTAAAGAGCCAGCATAGAGATGGGACTTAATACATGGTGCAGGTTAGGGAGGGCTCTCCAGTGGAGGTAACATTTGGGTATAGTTTTGAAGGATGACTAGGAGTTTCTATCCAACAGCACAAGCTGTTGATTCTTAGAGGTCATTGGCTTTCCACTGTTCTGCAGTTCTGGCAAAGTGAATGACAGAAAGATGCCATATGATGTGACTATCATTTGTACATTTACTAAGCACTAGGCACAGTACAGGCACAGTAGTGAGGAGCTCTGGTGGCACAGTGCCTAATACATCAGCCTGCTAACCAGAAGGTTGGTGGTTCAAACCCACCAGCCACTCCACAGAAGGAAGACTGGACAATCTACTTCTGTAAAGATTTACTTCCTCAGAAACCCAGTGGGGGGTCACCATGAGTTGGAATTGACTCGAAGGCAGTGAATTTAGTTTTGTTTTGGTTTGAGGCACAGTAGTGCGGTAGGAAATAAAGCGTTGAGTAAAACTGTCTTTTTCAGGAGTTCAGAGTCCAACAGAGGAAGCAGATGTGGAAACAAATGACCACAGTGAATGTGATAAGAAAGCTACCTGTCTACATGGAAAGCACTGTGGGAACATGTGGAGGAAGTGACCACCTGGGGGAGTTAGGGAATGTGGGTTATGCAATGAGCCTTGCTAGGTGGGAAAGGGCAGTTCAGGGCGTACTACCTAGAGGGAGAAGCTTTGTGCAAAAGCATGAATAAAGGCAAGGTTTGGGAGAGTGAAGAGAGGCCACAGGGCTGGAATGAAGGTGGTGTGAGGGCACAGTAACCAACTGCCCCCGGTTTGCCTGGGATTTTCCTAGTTTGAGTATCTCAAACCTAAGGAAACTGGGACTGTTGGTTACCCTCTGTGAGATGTGGTTACCCAGCATGCTTAATTCCTGCAGGAAGCCAGACACAGATCAAGAAGAGAGTTCATGATGAAGGGCATATATCTGTTTGATTGTTCTTGTGAAATGATTAATTTTATTAATTAGTCTTCCCATTATCCTAAAATTGAAAATCTGAAGGACTCAGAGATATTTGAAAGAAATGTTGCTGAAAGAAAATAGCTTTTAACTTTAAGGAATTAAGCATTCATTCTTAGTATAACTAATTTCATAATTAATACTCTCCGCAGACCCTGTACCATGCAATATACCTTCTCAGATATAATTGAGCACTTATTGTACATAAACAGCTTTTGATCACCTTATATATGATATACTGTGATTTCTCAACATGTTCCTTCCATATAAGTGGGCTAGTAGGGATTGATGTTGGCTGAAAATACCAAAGCCTTTGTTTATTCTAGAATGTTTTGGGTCTTCCAGATCCTGTGCAGCAAGGCTGAGAACGCCAGGCTGGTGGTACAGATCGACAATGCCAAGCTGGCCACAGACGACTTCAGAACCAAGTAAGAGTTTTTGTTAGTATTGGTGCAGTCCAGTAATGGGACAAGGTGAATCACAAAGTAATGAAATCTCTGTCTCTGGAGTGTACAAATAGAAGCAATTGGGGATAATATTGGGAAGATGTTTGCCTTGGTTTAGATGTCTTTTAAGGTCCTCTCCATGCTCAAATTCTGTGTTTCAATTTAGTTGGAAAGAGTGCAAGCAACCACCCATTTGTTCTCTTCTTCAACTCAATTTCAGACCAAGTTTAAAAGTGAATTTCACACTGGTCTCTTAGTACAGGTTAGTCACTACCAACCATCAGATGAATTGATTAAAATTCAAAAATAGGAGACAAAATCCATTACTTTCAGAGAATCAATCGATTTTTCTAGGTATGACCATTACAATCTTAAGAAACCTTTGCATTTTTATGGAATCTTTCTGTTTAGAATGTGATTTCACTCATATCACTTCTTTCTCTCCAGCCAACTCTTTGAAACAGTAGTTTTGTCCCCATTTCACAGATGAGGAAACCAAGGCTCAGAGACAAGCCAAGACAATTTGTAATAGGAAGTTCACTGACTTATTAAGAATGCAAAGATGGTGGGGCTTGGTTGATAGCAAGCTGTGAATGAGATTCTTGGAAGATACAATATTGGACTAAAATTAAAGATAGGCACCTCTCCAGTACCTTCCCTATGGGTTTCAGGGAAGAAATAGGTCTTACTCTGCACAGCTGTATGTTTTTTCCTTTCAAAAATGTTTTTAACCGTCCAGAACATATTACAGTGAAATGAATTTAACCAGATGAGCCAAGTAAAGCCAAGGAAACAAAGTCTTCTTTTTGACCTCCTTATGCCTTTGACTGTGTGGGCAGGTACGAGAAGGAGCTGTCCCTGAGGCAGCTGGTGGAGGCTGATATCAACGGCCTGCGCAGGATCCTGGATGGGCTGACCCTGTGCAAGTCTGATCTGGAGGCCCAGGTCGCATCTCTGAAGGAGGAACTGTTGACCCTCAAGCAGAACCATGAGCAGGTAAGAGAGTCCCAGCTTCCAACATACTGGTAATGAGAGCTCCATGACTCAACTGGGTAGGGAAAAGTAGGTCTTGATTTGCTAAGCATCCAAGAGCTAACATAACACTTTCCTGTCTGCTCAAAAGATATTTAGGGGATTCTCACTGAAGAAGTCACTTACTTCTTTTGCCCAAAGCAGAGTGGTCATTTGGCCTGTTTCCACTAGGGGCTAGATGTGTGGTCAAAAGTCCATAAGAAGATCTTTAAGATACTTCCTAGAACTTGATAAAATCTATTATGCTCTAAGTAGGTGCCAAATAAATGACCAAGTCTGGAAGTAGATAGCAAACTTCTTTATCCTGTGTGTTACCTAGATAATAAGAACGCAAGTTGGAGAGATGAATAGATGGATGGATGGATGAATAGATGGATGGGAAAAATGGGAGAAGTGAAAGAAGTTAAACAATGGTTTGATTCAGGCCTCATTTTGCATGTGTAACTAGGAAATCAGATGCAAGTCTCAAATATTAGAGCCTTTGAAGAAGAGAAACTAAATTCTTATAGTGTATGAAGGTAGAAGACATGAACTACAAGTGGGGAGTCAAACATGTACTCTTTATATTTAAGTCACAATAATTATAAACCATATCATAAACTTATCATATCAGACTCAGTGAGCAGTGGGATAATTAGAAAGAAGTGATAAAATCTTGGAGTGGGAAGAAGCATTAGAAATCGTTCAATCAAGTAGCCTCATTAAACCTACTCCTTACTTACTGACTTTTTTTTGTTGTCTGAAAATTTGCATTTATGAGCATAATAAATTTTTTTTTTTGCATGTTAATAAAGTTTGTCTGGCATTAAGGAACCCCAAGGTATAAGGTACCATGCTTTGAAATGCTTCATTCTGGTTTGACCCCCTACTGACAATCTACATTTTAACAAGATACCCAGGTGATTATGTAGATTCTTACTAAAATATAGATCTTTCTAAAATGTAGATTCCGATTCAATATATCTGGGGTGGAAATGTAAATTCTCAGCAGGTTGAACTGGAAAGAACCTGTTTGAAACCCAGACAAGTCAAGAGTAACACTGGTTAAGGTTATATGCTAACTTGACTGGGTCAGGATTCTCAGTGGTTTGGCAGTTATATAATGATGTGGTCATCCTCCATTTTCACTTAACTCTGGTTTTCACGTGATGACCTGGTCTTTGATATCCAACCATGTTAAGAAATGAGGAGAATGTGTCTACATATGAGGAAAAGAGACACAGAGAAGATCTGAATTGCCAGCGGTAACTTAGCAGAGTTTTACATCAACTGCACTTTCGTTTCCTACATTCCAGTGCACTACTCTTTCCACTACATTGGACTCCATCAAACAGTTTATTTCCAGACTTCTTTCTCTGAGTTTATTTCTTTCTCTTGCACCATCAGGAAGTCAACACCCTGCGTTGCCAGATTGGTGAGCGCCTCAACGTGGAAGTGGACGCTGCCCCCACCGTGGACCTGAACCGTGTGTTGAATGAGACCAGGTCTCTTTATGAGGCCCTGGTGGAGACCAACCGCAGGGAAGTGGAGGAATGGTTCATCACACAGGTGGGCATCTAAGCACAAGGCCAGTCTGGACCTGAAGCCCTCAGGGCCCTTAGATGGAGTCTGACCCCTGTCTTCTCCCCTCTGGATATTTCAGACTGAAGAGCTGAATAAGCAGGTGGTGTCCAGCTCAGAGCAGCTGCAGACCTCCCAGGCACAGATCATTGAGCTGAAACGCACGGTCAATTCCCTGGAGATTGAGCTGCAGGC